GGACAAACGTGTGTGGGACCCACCTGCAGGCCGAAGCACGCCCTGGGGCTGCTGCAGTCGGGTGTTAGCAGGACCAATCCATCCACAGAAACCCCTCCAGCCTCTCCCTCTGGGTGCTTGGGAAGATGGTAATCCTTGGCCACTCCGCCCTGTGATGGGCAGATGGCAGACAGGTGGGCCGTCATGTCCCATTTCCCGGAAGCCCCACACACCTGCGGGGCCGGCCTGGTGTGGCTGTCCCTTGTCGAGCCTTTGCCTGCTGCTCCACTCTACATCAGCCACTGTTGCTAGCGAAAGTAAACACCCAAACTGGTTAAACCAACAATCCTGTTGATTCAGAGCCCGTAAAACACAGATGCCCCGAGCTGCTTTATGACGTGCCAGGATCCGGAGGCAGGAGAAGGGCCTGCAGAAGCCTCTCCCAAGGGCCACCCCCAAGCTCACGCTGGAGCGAGGGTCTAGACGTCCCCAAAGGCCTGCCCCTGGCCCTTGAGGCCAAGTTTACAAAGGTGGTGCTGGTTTGGGTAGGACCCCGCAGGGTAGGTGGGTCTGGAATCTAGGGTTGAAAAGCTGAACGAGTCAGTGGGAGCTGGTGGGGTGGAGGCACTGGACGAGGCCCGCGGGGCTTCCTGAGTGCCCTCCCCTGGCTCCTGCAAGGTGTCTCCCCACTTAGCATCATAGAAACTGGAGTTGCATCAGTGTGCATGGGAAGTGGACCCCAGGAGGGTAATTTTGGTGTCTGCCTCTCTGCAGTTCCTCTTTCGCAGGCTAATTGGATCCGTTTGCTTTGTTTCTGGGTTCTCTGGAGATGTGGGGCCTCCCCTCATCCTCAGGTGGCCCCTGAAGTGCTAACGTGCAGTGCCCAGCCTCCATCTGGGAGATTCAGGTGCTGTGGCCTGGGTGTCAACGTTTTCTTCAGGGCCTCCTCTACCCGGGGATTAGACTGCAGATGGCTGGGACCTCGACTTTGTCTGAGAAAACCTGATTTGGTTAAGAAGTCTAGGTTACAGGTCAGGATTTACTGGCAAAGGGAGGCCACATGTCTGCACTCAGTGCTGATACGGTCGCTCGCCTTGGAGACGCTAGCACTCGGCCTGTGGAAACAGCTCGAGAAGCTACGGTTTTCAATCCTTAACCTTGCTGGCTAGTGCTTGTTGAGCCAAAAAGGCTTCTGTGACTTCTCCCATTTAATCCTCACAACAACCCATGAGACGAGACGGGTCTGTTGCCAGCCCTGTCTTACAGACGGGAAGATGGGGTGAGGCTGGGGAAGCCGCAGCAAGGACTCCCGGGGGGCTTGTGCAGGAACTGAGCTCTCCTCGGCACTGAGGTCTTCCCCTGGCAGGGTAAAAGAATTCTGACCAGCTGTTTTTCTGTCTGTAAAGAAGCCCTGAGTGTCTCTGTCAGCTATCCAAGAGGGCTGTAATTTAAGCATTTAAAAGGTAACAAAATGAGAAATTATTTTGAAAATGACTAAGCAAGCAAGAGTGACATTTTGAAATCTAACAGTCATCAGGACTAGTTTCTGGGGTGACTGCCCGGTGCTGGGCACTGGCTAAGGGCTTTTGTCTTGATGTATTTTTTATTGTGATGAAATACACACAAAGTGGGCCATTTAGCACGATTCAGTGGCATGAAGCACACTCTCAATGTTGTGCAGCCCAATTCGATCTAGTTCTAGAAAATTTTCTTCACCCCAAAAAGAGATCCAGGCCCTTGAGTAATTCCTCTTGAGGCCCCCAGTCGAGTCTGGTCCACGGATGTGCCTTGCTGGGCAGGTTGTGTGATGGGGTCAGAGAGCCTGCATCCTCTTGGGACTGATCTTCATTCAGCCTCATGGTTTCAAGTTCAGCTGGCTGGGAGGTCATTCCTTTTTACAGCCAGATAATGTGGATAGACCACGTTTTGTTTAGCCACTCATCCACCGACAGACACTTGGCTTATTGGCTGTTTCACCAGTTAGATACTTATCACGTGTCCCCACGCGGCATTTCCGGTACGACTTGGTGCAGACTCACGAGGACAGGGGCGGTTAGGATTTTAAAGAGGAAGCATTGGTGACCCAGAGAGGTGAAGTGACTTGCTTGGGGTCACACAGCAGGGAGGTGGCTGAGGCAGGGCTTGCTGATCCCACAGCCCAGGAAACTTGGACTTTTACTGCTCCTGGTCTGGTGTGACCCAGCCGGTGATGGTCCCGCAGATGGCACTTCAGAGCCAACCTGGCGTGGCCTGTTGGAATCATCTGAGGATTGTTTAAAAAGAAATTCCCTGCAGGGGTTCTCCCCTCAGACCACTGGCATCAGAATTTCTAGAACGGTGTTCTCAGTCTGAGCCGGTTTGGGTCTCCTCTTCAGGAGGTATTTAGCCACATCTCGAGGCAATTTGGGCTGTCAAGCATCTAGTGGATAGAGACCAGGATGCTGCTAAATAAATATCCTATCAGGCGCAGGGCAGCCAGACAGCAGAGGATCCGCCGGATGCCTCAGGGTGAGCCTGAGAAGCCGGAGTCAAGGCCTGGGGGATGCATCTTTGGGTTTCCCGACAGAAGCTGCCATGCAGACAGAGCTCAGCCATGCTTCTCTGACTTTTTAGTACCTAAGAAGAACCTGGGTTCTTTGTTCCACAGTAGATTTGGGTCCAGAGGGTCAAGGTGGGACCCGAGATTCTGCATTTGTAACAAGGTCCTGCTGCCGACCCCGCCGCGCTGTGAGAGACCAGACTGGCTTGCAGATAAAGGCCTCCAGGAAGCTGGGCTGCTCCCCTGTTGTTTCTCTTTAAATTTTCACTTTAAAAGATAGTTTCTTTCAGAACAGGGGAAGAGGTGCAAAATGCAAAGAGGGTGAATCGGTTGGTTGCTTGAAGCTGAAGCTCTGGAAGGAGAGCAGTGAGGTGGCTTCAGGAAAAAGCCCAGCAGCGCGATGTGCCGTGATTCACAGCACAGCTGTGGGGCCAGCTTCCCGCCCAATGTGAGAGCTCACGGCCAGGCCTGGCTGGGCTGGCGGGAGCCCTGGCCAGCTTGTCCCGGCCTGATGAGTCAGGTTTTCCACCTGCAAAAGGGGAGGCATGGCTGTGGCCACCGCCCTCCCCCCTGGGGCTAGAAGCCCCCAGCTGTCCCCCAAACTCATCCAAGGCAGGTCTTAAAAGTGGGGACCTGCTTTTCTAGGTCATGTAGCTGCTGTTTCTACTGTGAATATATCTGCATTTGTGACTGTTCCATTAGGAAGTCCTGCAAAACTCCTATATTGAAAGAAAGGATGAATAACTCCCAGCTCATGTGGGAGAAATTAGCAGCTTCTGCAGAGAGGCCTTTTAATAGATACTCTTAAGTGGCAGCTGGCTAGTCTCCGGGGAAGAGAGCTTGGGCTGAGCGGAGGTGCTGGGGGTCGTGGGAGGCCCCTGGGTGGTGCTTTCAAGGTGAGGTGTCTGGGTGTGGCTGGATGGGCCACAGCCAACTCCTTAAACATTGCGGGTGCATTGTGGCTCCTGAAGGAGCCACTTTCAACGTGGCTTCAGGGCAGAGGGAGGGAGATGCTCGGCCACCTGGAGGCCCAGGCCAGCCAGGAGGGAAGGGTTAGGTGTGGGCCTCAGGTCTCACATGGCTGCTGCCTTGGCTCCCGGATGAGGAGGTCAGCAGGACCCTGGCACCGTATGGGCTGGCCCTCTGCCTAGTGCTGGGGTTCTGGGAGGAGGGCCAGGAGTGCAGGCTGACTCAGAGGGGGAGGGCAGGCCTCTGGAGCCCACACTGCCAAGGCGAGGCCTAAGAAAATGGGCCCCTCGTGCTGGCTGGGACCTGGCTCTGGCTTTGCTCAGGGAGGGCTGCAGAGAGGGTCTTCCTTCTTCCCTGGTCTCTGCCTTCCGGAGGAACTAGTGACTAGAATGGCTAAGAGGTGGGGCTCTGGAGCTGGTGAACCAGCTTTTGTGGGCTTTAATATCAGCTCCAACACATGCCCTTGACCTGACTTCTCTCAGCTTTAGTTATCTCCCCAGCCAAATGCAAATCATTTAAAAACCTTCCTCAGGAGGTTGCTGTGAGCATTCAGGTGTATAGATCTGTCCCATGCCTTTGTCTTTCATTCCTTATTTAGCTGAGGATCTATATAAAATAGAGATAGATGTAGGTGTCAAGATGTCTTGAGATGTTTTCATATCTACACCTACCCGGCATGTCCAGCCCCTCCTCCCAAGTCCTGGGCTCTGTTCTCGCCTCATAGCACATACAGAACAAACACTGTCACTCCAGGGGCAGAGATGAAAGATAAACCAATAAAGCTACATGTAGGTATCTGAAAGTGGAAAGTTCTTTCAGGAAAACCAAGCAGGCTAAAAAGGGAGAGACATAGACAGCTGGAAGGGCGTGGGACCTGCTGTTTTAACTCGGGTGGGGGAAGTGGAGGGTTATGGAGGCCTCTCTGAGGAGGTGACACTGAATAGAATCTGCAAGAAGAAAGGGGAAAAGGCAGGTAATTGGTAAAGAATCTTCCAGAAAGAAGAACTAGAAAGCATGCTCAAATGTAGGAGTCTGCTAAGTGTGTCAAGAGACAATAAGAACATTCTAGAAGTATGGGGAGTGTGAGCGAACAAGAGGGAGTTTGAAAAAATGCAATCAGAGGGGACAGAGCAGCTCCGGGCTACCTGCAGCCATGTTCAGGGTCAGAAATGCATTCCAGGGCAGAAATGTCCAGAATACATGCTTCTGACATTCCGCTGCTTGGGCTCACAACAGAGGCAGAAGGAAGGGTTACGCTATAATAAAGTTGACTTGCCCACCCATTCATAAAACATAAAGAAAATAACAAAATCGCACCCATCTCTTGATTCATGTAAACACAAAGTGCTCTCACGAGAAAACTAGCCAAGTAACTTGGCACCACTTGCGGGGTGTGGTGGGCCACGTTTGCCATGACAACCAGCGGCAGAGGGGCAGCGCCTGTCCTGTTTTGTCACCTGGACTCAGGGGATGTCGCTCCTCATCACAGCCCCTTCTCTTGTCTCACCCTCAGCCCAGCGATCGGCCCACGAGCTGCCCATGGTGGAGAGACAAGACATCGACAGCTGCCTGGTGTACGGGGGCCAGCAGATGATCCTCACGGGCCAGAACTTCACGGCTGAGTCCAAAGTCGTGTTCACGGAGAAGACCACAGGTCAGGGGGTGTTTCGAGCTTGTTTTCTGTCCACTGGAGCCGTGCGAAAGTGACCACCTCTTTCTTCCGAACAGCGCTGGTGGGGGTGGCCGATCCCATTGTGCAGACTTTGTTCTGCTCCTTTGCTCATGGTGAGAATCTCCCTGGTTCCTGGGGTCTTGGCATCAACCCGGCCACTGTGACGTCCATGTGCCAGGACAGGCCTTGACTGCCCCTTGGTTGTCCAGTTGGATGGTAAAGGGGCAGCCCTTTCCATCTTTTTACCATGATCAGCACGTGACCAAGCGTGTTTGCTTTGGTCTTGTGCATTCTGGGTTCGAATCTTGGCTTAGCTGCTTGCTTACTCTGTGATCTTAGGCAAATGGCCTGACAGTTCTGTGCCCCAGTTTCTTGTGCATAGAACCTTAGTAACAAGAGTTACCCCGCAGGATAACTCTTGTGGGCTTAAATATCAGTGTTTCTGTGCAGAAAAAAATGAGTTAATACTGGTCAAGTAATCGCAAGCCAGTGAATGTCAGCCACTTAGTTTTTATTTGAAAATAATGCTGTAGTCTTATGCTTTCAGGACACCTTGCTTGATTTTCTTATATATGAAGCTCTGTTTTGGCTATTTAGGGTTTATTCCTAGCAGTGGAATTTGGGAGAGTCGTTTTGAGAGTTTAAATGTAAATCGCTAAATTGCTTTTCAGAAATCTACAAGTCAAAACCTCCACCTCTGCCATGTCAGTAATGTTTCACCGCAGCCCAGAAGGGCCATTTCTTTTAATTAAAAGAATTTACTGAGGATGTACTTTTTACTTCGCACTCTTTGCTATGAGGGTCAATATTTTTGTTTATTGGTCACATGAGGACGAGGTAAAAAGAAAACGACCTGAAGTAGGGAAATATCAGGTTCCGCAATTATTCACTTGTTCCGGATACTAGCCTTGGTTTGGTTTGGTTTTGTCGTGGACATAATTTTGGTGGTCAGTTTGAAGGGGTGCTGATGCTTTTCTGTTTGTTTATTGCTTGTAGGATGATCCAGAGACTATAACAGGCAGCTTGTCCAGTTGTAGGGATTGTGCACCGCACAAGGGCACTTATTCTGGGGGGGGGGCTGCCACTTGAACTGGATCCAGCATCGATCTGTGTTTTACTAAGACCGCTTGGGATGGGGGGACACAGTGTCTTGGGGGAAGGGCGCTTCTTCCTAATTCACACCACGCTTCTTCTCGGGATGGGCTTGCTTTCTCCTACTTTGAAGGTATGGTAGAGGGTAGAATTGATTTTAAATAAGCTTGATGAAGCTGTTGCACACAAAAAGGGGTGGGCCATTAAGTAGAGCCATGGCAGGGGGGCTGGAGATGGACCGATGGGTTGGATGTGGGAGGGGTTTAAAAAGCACGAGGTTGGTCACTTTGGGCTGCAGGGGCCTTGATGGTGCAGGAAGGGGTTAGCGATGCAGACATCTAAGTGCAGGTCGTGCATTCTGTTTTTTAACTTTTACTTATTCATATTTTTTATATATTTTTTGAGGTAACAGTTTACAAGCTGTGTGATTCAGAGGTACAGGTTCACGCCTCTTCAGATATATGTTACCACACCCACCCACCCACCACCAAAGCAGCCATTATCTCCCACCACAGTCCAGGCCCCCTCCCCTGTGCCCCTCTCCTGAATCTCCCCCCTTGTATAGCCTCCATTCAGTCCAATTTCTAGGGTTTATTTTGTTTAGTTTTGTCTATTCTTTTGTTTCTGTAGTGAAATCATCCATTATTCGTCTTTCCCCTTTTGGTTTATATCACTTAGCGTCACTCCCTCTAGCCCCATTCATGCTGCAAATGGCAAGAGTTCCTCTGTTTTCATAGCTGGATAGTGCTCCACTGTGTCTGTGCACCACGTCTCCGTAACCCACTCCTCTGTCTTGGGCGCTGAGGGGGTTTCCATAGCTCTGCTCTTGTAAATAGGGCTGCAGTGAACATTGGGGTACAGCTATTCCTATGAGTGTTTTTGCATTTTGGGAAACCTCTGCCTTGCTTTCCCCAGGGGCTGGGCCCTCCTGCATCCCCACCATCAGGGTGCGTGGCTCCCTCTCTCCACACCCTCGCTGGCACTTGTTGCTGGTCTTTTTAAGATTTATTTTTATTTTATTTATGCATGCAAAAACTGGGGTGTAGACCAGAGGTGGGGGGGGGTGAGAGGATCCGCCAGAGACAGAGTGGGGAGCAGAACAGGCCAATTGACTGAAATACACTGTTGAGGGGAGCAGCGGGCGAGACAGGAGAGGCCTGCTGCGCCATGTGGGTCAGCTCCCTGGCCGGGGATTGAACTCATGCCCAGTGCCTGTTGTTGATAGCACTGAGGCTTTAACCCCTGCGCACCAGGGAGGCCCGGCTTCTTTTTTAAACTTTCTCACAGGTGTGAGGAAGGACCTCACTGTACTTTTGAATTGCATTTCCCTGAGGACAGGTGAGGATGAACTTGCTATCACGAGGTCTTATGGTACCTGATGGAACCACTCCCCGCTCCTTGAGCGTCCGGCCGCTTTCAACCTTATGCTCTTATAAGTGACCCCACCGCGAGCATCCCTCTATCCCTCGTCAGCGCGGTGAGCCGTCCAGTCTGCCTGTGCTCAAACCCCAGCTCCACTGCTTTGGGCAAGTCCCTGGTCTCTCCGTGCAGCACCTTCCTCCTGTGCCCAAGGAAGGTGGCAGACCTGCCTCTCGGGGGTGGGGCGGGAGATGAAAGGCTCATCCACGTGCAGTGCCTGTGAAATGCCTGGTGTGTGGTAAGTGCTGGCATGTGAGCTGGTGCTGGTTGTTACTTGCTGTTTCCCGGGGTGAAGCCCTCTGTATGGTGGAGTGGATTGGGGGCAGGCGTGGAGTGGATTGGGGACAGGCGTGTCTTGAGGGTTTTTCAGGTGGTGGTGCAGAGTAAATATTCTCTAGGACACAAATTTGCTAGGCTCCCGCGAGGCCGAGAGTGTGTGACTAGGGTTAGAGGCTGGCGACACTGGCAAATGTTTTGATGAGCAGGCGGAGCCCAGGTCAGAGCATCCTCCTAGGGCCAGGTACAGACACATGCTTAAGCAGGTCATAGGACTCAGGTAGTAGGTTCTTGACCAGGAGAGTGGCATCTTGAGCATCCAAGTATTTGCTAAAAGAATGAACAAACAAATCAATGAATGGCATTTACTCTTTGGGTCTCCTTCTCTTGGTTTCAGAAGAAATTTCAGTTTAAAGAAATTGCCTTTTAAAGGGAGGAAAACTCAGGGCCTGATTCAACTTTGAACAGTTGACAATTAAGAAAAGTCATAAAAATTGCTCCCTGAGGGTGAACCCTGTTTTGGGGGGTTCCTTCACCGCTGTCTTCATGCATATCCTCTCATCTAACCGACTCCCCAGAGAGGAGTCAGATCTCACCCATAGATAATAACCAGCACTGTCCTGCAGTTCAAACTCCCGAGTCTTGGTCTTCCTGTAATTAAAGCCACAGCAGTCCTGTCTTGCAGGGCCAGGTGCACACAGTGGTGTTTAGGGGGTGCTCATCCAATCTCTGTTATGTTCCTACCATCCCTCCAGCATTGCTTGGTCCAGCGCCCCGTTGGCCTGACACATGCTGGCGCAGGTATTGGTCCTGGGCTGGCCGGGTGTGGGGAGCTGTCAGCTGCAGGGGGTATAAGTCGAGGCCCTGATGTCAGACCACCTGGCTTTGAACCCATGATCCGCTTTGTCATCCTGGGGAAGACGCTTTACCTCTCTGAGGCGACATTTCCTCCTTCGTAAAGTGCAGATGATTTGCTTCTCTTGAGAGATGAGAAGATGAGATGAATCAGGCTCTTTGCTTAGAACTTGGCACATTGTAGATGCTCATTAAATATGAGCTTCTCTTTTACTTATCATATTCGGGCTGTGGAAGGACAAAGATAAGGAAGATTTTATCTCACGGAACCAAGAAACATTGGGAAAACAATAAGTAATGATAACAAACCCGGTGCCAGACCTTGTTCTAAATCCCTCATATATATTAACTAATCTGAGTCCTGATAGTCCAACAAGAGAGCTACTGTTCTCCCAATTGTGCTGATGAGAAACCGAGCACAGAAAGGTTAAGTAACTTAGTGAAAATCACACAGCCGGGAAATGGCGTGCTGGTTTGCCCCCCAGGCAACCTAGCCCTGAAATCCGTACCTTTGGCTACTTGCTGTTCTACTCTGAAAAAGCCTAGATGCAGATTATTTTACATGAGGACACTCCGGCTGCTCTGGCCCCCTGACTTGATTCATTTTGTAGTGATATAGACCCTTGAATTCCGCAGCGGGTCCCCGGGGTTGAAAGGCTCCATTTCAAACCCTTTTGCATCTAAAGAATCCCAGATCCTGGACTGATGCCAACAGACAAATGGGGGGAGGTATTTAAGACACCCCTGGACCTCAGCAGGAGTGGGGGGCTTCCCTGGTGGCATGTCTGACTCCCTGTGGCTCTGACAGGCAGGGGGCTTGCCTGCCATTTGCAGGGAGCTGATCTGCTCTTTTGACCCCAAGAACATGCCTCCCGGCCCAGGGCTGCCGTCTGCAGGGGGAATCCCTGTTGCTCAACTTCTTTTTTCCAAAACGCATCCCCGTTCCCATCTCCATGGACAGCTTGGCTGGCACGGCCTCGGTGGGGTGGGGTGGAGTGGAACAGTTGAAGTTTTCCAAGGAAGGGGAACCCCAGCTGGTTCTCACATTAAGGAAAGGTGACACCTCCTGGGCTAATCTTAGCCCCCACGTTGGGTCATCGGCACCACCAGCTCCAACGTTCTTTTTATAGCTGTCGACTGAAATGGAATTGGCAGTTTCCACTCCAGCGGGATGACAAATTGGAGATCGGTGGAAAAACAGTAGGAGAGGGGCCTCGTGGTGTTTCTTAAGTTAGAAAAGCCTGGTGTTTTGGAAAATGGCCTCTTATTTATAGCAGCAGTAATAATAATGATTATGATATTATTTTTATTACTATTTTAAAGTATTTTCATGCCTTCCA